GATGAACACAGGCTTCTGACTTTTCCCTGGAGGTCTTTCAAGTTTTGTAGGCCTCTTAGGGAGAGGTTCAGGCATCAGTTTATCTGATCTGTCATTTTTGTCTCCACAGCTACCTTCTCTGATCCTTTGATCCGTATACAAGGAGGAGACTGAAAGATAAAGCTATGTTGATACTGTTTCCTGACAGATTTGGATTAGAGAGATTGTTTGAGATTATAATATTCTTCGAGTGACTCCTGCTCTGGACCTCTGTGCTTGAATTCATGGGTATACGTATTTCATGGGGGGTGGCATTCAATTTGGGCCAAGTTTATATTATAATTGTTGCCATTGCTGCTATTTGGTTTAAAATGTCAAATCTTTGAATATATCACTGTGTTTGCAGTGGTCATTTTAGAAGCCCAATTGAATCAAGAGAATTATACACATGCATTAGGCATGCTTTGCTAGCAAAGATGAGGCCATAGTGGACAAAGAGTTTTGGCAGTGTAGAAGTTTCTGAGCAGAGAACTAACAGGCGCAAATTCAAAATGTGAAGAGGAATCAGGAAGCCAGGGTAAACGGAGAGTGATCCTTCAGGACCTTGGACAGGTCCTGGGGAACTCCCAACCTGCTCTGCAGAAGCCAATAGCTCCATAAAAAAAACCAGTCTCTCTCTCTCTCTTGGTGATCTGTCTTTTCTCCATTTCTTGTCACAGCATACATGGGCAGACTTCATATGTTTTAGATTCACCTGTGTTGCTATCCTTAGATATGTAGCCAATGACAGTTTCTTGCTGGCTAAAAACGATGGAAGTCCTCACAAAGTTGGAGGGTACCAAGATAAGAGGAGGCTGGTCTAGATCAAGACAGCAGATGTCTCTGTACAACAGTATGACCCTTTCAGGGTCCTTAATTGCACAGGGAAACTCCTGCACATCAATACATGGAGTCATAAGCCTGCTTTCTGACGTTAAGATGAATGGCCACCCAGTCCAACTCTACAGACATTGGTTTCCAGACTGGTTCCCAGAAAAGAGAACAAAAGATTGTGCATTCACAAGAAAGCAGTTTGGAAAAGAGGAACATCAGGAGGTATTCACCATAAGAACAGCCAGTATTTTGAAAACTGTTTATCAAAGGTAACTACACAAAGTAATAAGGGTTAATTGCGGGGGGGGGGGGGTAATGGAAAAGTTTTTTTTTGCTACAACTTCCAGAATTCCTGATCAGTGACCATATCAGCTGGGGGTGTCTCAGGGATATACTCCAAAAAAGTGACTTCCTCAAGTTCAAGTTAGTTAGCGTAAATACTGAAACCCACTCAGCCCTGTTGTACCTGGTTACTTCTGGGATTAGGCTAAGACGTCAGTGTCACAGATTGTAATGTAAATAAGAATATTGTAATGGACAATTGACTAGTTTCGTAACTGAGGACCAATCACACACATCGAAGTGGAACTGTCTGAAGGAAAACTTCTTTATGCCATTTTGTTTCGGCCTGTCCATGAGAAGTGAAGTGGAGACAAACCTGGAAAGAGTTGAGGCAGACAGTTGCTAGGTGCAATATAATATTAGATTTGGTGTGATTCTGCATTTTAAAACACCACTTTTAAAAAGAGAGAGGGAAAAGCCCAAGTGAAGTATACACTTTTACAGTATCAAGCAGCAAAAACAGGACTTTTATCGAGAGCCTCCTTATGTACATCTCTCTTGGTGAGTTAGAACTTGCACAGCCTTGACCTCGCCTATTTCTAATTGACCATCTCATTCCAACATGAGCCCTTTGTGACTGCTGCCTGAAGCAATAGTCAGTATTTTTCAGTGGAAATGAGTGATGGCAATAAGCAGAAAATAGTTACTATTTTCTTGCTATTTAGAATAGAACCACCTAAGGAGAGTCTGTCCAGCACAAGATAATATGAAAGAATAAGACGTGGCTGGAATAATGTTTTCCTTTAGAGCACCACTAAGGAGTGGCTTTGGATCCATATCTGTAAACTGAGCTTTAACAGATCTGCTTGACTAACTAGAAGGTCTTGTTTTTATTTGGAGAAGCTGTTAGAGGGGTCTTGAAAATGAAGCAAGGGGTTTACTTCAGCAATGTGAGAAAGTGCAACCCTGCTCTGTTCACAAGCTACCTATTCAAGCTTGTCAGGTCTAGCAACTCAAGTATATGGTAGTTTCTTTTTTAAAAGGGTCTTGAAATTAATATTAGTTTGTGAACAATACAAAGAATGCCTATCTTCCTGTATTTCTTGTTTCTGTTTCTTTATTGCCTTGGTCCACTTATTTTAATTGTCCCAGTAAGTGTGTCTCACATTTGTATATACAGCTTGTCTACAGATGCTGCTTTGGAAGTCTCTAGGACAAACCTGCCTACTCTTCTTCTGGGTAAGAAGGAAGGAAGAAGACTTCATCTCCAGTTCCCATTATGTTTGCCCAAGTTCCTTCAGGTATGTGTCATTTAGCAGACTATTTTTGCCTTCCAGTATGTGACCTACACACCCAACAAGCACACAAATATTTTTCAGAACTCAGATTAAAATTACAATATGACACAAGATGCCACAACTCCTTTTCATCTTTCCACGGCCTGGAACAACTGTTTCTTTCATTTTTCCATTTCACATGATTAATTTAACTGTAATTTGGACTACTAAAACCCAAAGAAATGATTTAAATTAGAAAGTAGCATAGATATACAGTTGTGAACACACACACACACAAATATGAATATTTGATGTGAAGTTGAGTGGATATTTCCAGGATTAATATACTCTTTCATTTTACAACTGGACTGAGCTGCCTTGAAGTTCTATGCTGGGCTCAGTTGATGACATTTACTTGTGGAAAATAATATGTATTTATATACCTAAAGATACAACCTTTTGGAAAATAACCTTAAACTGTTGCACCTCAATTGACAATCAAAGACCACTCACGGAGAATGCCTTCCATATACATATGCAAATACACTGTGCTGAAGGTTCTCAACCAGCTCACCCTGCTTTAGTTTATTTGACAATAATGAACATGCAAAGGTTATTTTTCTTTAGGATCCACTGCAAATATATCCTTTTGTAGCATCTTCATGGACAATAGGCTTTGCATTTCCTCTACCTAGTTTAAATTCACCATTGAATTCATTTCTCAATTTACAATGTGAGCCTTGGATTCTAAGATGGTTAAGACATTCACGGAAGAAAAGATTTATGCCTCTCATCCGTTGACCCATATCTCCTCTTTTTAAAAGCCTCTCCAGAAGGTCAGAGGGTTCTTCTGAACCCCATTTTCCTAAATGCCCAACCAGCATGGTAGCTCATGTTCTTCAGGAGAGAAACATGAGAGCAAGAAGTTATCCTTCTTGAACTTCCCTGATGTTGGGAAAGTCTGAGGGCAAGAGGAGAAGGGACGATAGAGGATGAGATGGTTGGGTAGTGTCATCGAAGCTACCAACATTAATTTGACCCAACTCTGGGAAGCAATGGAAGATAGGAGGGCCTGGCATGCTCTGGTCCATGGGGTCACAAAGAGTCGGACACAACTTAACGACTAAACAACAACAATAAAAATTTAACTTTTGGGGGGATCCAAACTATTAACATTAATACAAACATGGTACTACAGTAATGCTTTAGCAATCAACTCTGTTGCCAAGTTACAGTTCCTTCCTTGGAAGAATCAGCAGAAAAGGGAATTAAACTGTGAACTGGTTTTACCTTTGAGATTTTTTCTCTGTTTGAAGCTACCAATTACAATCCTTTTCACTGATTGCACTAAAGATAATGGAGAGAATTATGGCTATCTTACACTACAATTTTATACCCACATATTCAGAAGCAATCCTCCTTCAGTTAAATAAAGATATAATTGCAGACTTATTTAACAGGTATCTTAAGTAACGTTCTGTAATAAAAACGACAGTGAACTACAATTCACCCATAGCAGTACAATGGCCATTGGCAGAAGAATGGTTGAAACCTTGAAATCAAAGATCTTTATGTGTCCATTCAGACCTCCTCAAACTGTACACATTCCCTATTAAACCTATTCAGTTTTCTTGAGCTGGTATACAAAGGACACCATGCCCTTGGTAAAATAAAAACAATAGCAAGATCAGAAATCTAGAGGATTATGTATGGTTTCCATAATTTACGTTCTACCTTGGTTTGCTCTCCTTCTTTATCTTCCTCCCAAAAGAATAATGCTGATATAATATAAATAAATATTAATAATTATAGTGGCAAAGTTATATTAGAAAGATGGCTGTATGGTGTACATTAGAAGATTATGACAACAATTGTTCTTAAATCTGTTTTAGTAATGTTTTTATCTAACGTTTTTAATATAATGTTTATTTAATTGTTGTTAAAATTTTGTATAAGTTACTGTTTTCAGCTTTCAGATATTGTCTTTTTTAAAATGGTGTAAGCCACCTTGGGTTCTGTTTTAGGAGAAGGGTGGTGTAAAAATATTTTAAATAAATACATTTTAAATTATAGCAAGGAGCTAGAACTGGATACCACTTCATATTCTATCAACAGTGGAAGGTGATGGGGCAGAAGAGAGGTTATCTGCCCATTATACTCTTTCAGTTACATCAGTACAATGAAAGAAATTATTAGAATGAATAAAAGCAACACCTCCTATTGTGCTGTCCTCTGAAGATGCCGGCCACAGAGAGTGGAGAAACGTTAGGAAGAACAACCTTCAGAACACGGCCAAAGAGCCTGAAAAACCCACAACAACCTCCTATTTTTGTTTGCCAGAGGGGGAAGCTTTACCAAATCCACATTAAACCAGATTTCTGTTTATTTTCTCTGTTAGCTTGTAAAAATGAGCAATAACTAATCATTTAATGATGAAAGACTGAGGAGAAAATTTAAAAAAAACCCAAAGAAGATAATTACTTTCTTACACAATGAAAGGTGCCTTGTTTGATCAGTCATGGCTGCTGAATCCATCCAAAATGTTACATCAATGGTCACTCTGCACATTTCACCCCTCAGTCAACTCACCTGCCCTTCTTGTAGACTTCATGTATTTCTTTTCCTTGCCAGTGAGCTCTGCATTCTGTAGATAAAACCCATCCCCAAAACAGCAGGAAGATGCTCAATTGCATTTTATGGACAGTCAACATGATATCCTCTGCTTGAAGGTCCAGAAATAGTCCACAAAAGAAGCAGGAAACCAAAATGAAGACCCTTTCCCTCTTTTTAAGACATTATCAGTCTGTTCATTATTGAAACGATGTTTACTCATACAAAAAATCATCCCACAGTATTTAATCTGGACAGTGGGGAAAAGCAATTTCCACTAAACCTATAAATCCGCCCTACGTCAGATGGCAGGGATTTTCGAACAGTGTCGAATTCATGAATCTGCACAGAACAATTATTCTCTTTTTTTGCTCGAAATCGGCTATGGTACAAATTGGTTTAAAGGAAAGCATTTCAGGTATTTTAGAAAATGGCATTAAACATTTCCCTCCGGAAAGCAAAGATAGATTTGATGCTGAAACTGAGAATGCCTGGGGTAGCTCTTTAATCACTAGTAAAAGGTCTGATAAAAGGGAAACAAGAACACCTGCTGAGATACATTTATATTTTAGTACTTAATTTTAACAGGCAACCTTTCAAGAGTGCATCATATTCATAAACCATCCTTGTCTCTGTGCACTGTCTATGAAGCATAACAGATTGATCTCTAACTGTTTTTATTCTGGTACCACATGATTCTAGTTGCTTCTGGAGAAGCCATTGTTGATGTGTTTCAGTGAACACAGGACTAGTGGCTTATCCTTTCTTGCTGTCTCTGTGCCAAGCTGCTTGGCTAAAGACGGGCCACGGAGAAAACATGCAATGAACAAGCCCTTATGAGGCAATAAAAACAAAATAAGAAGAAATCAAATAAGCAGCAACTCATTGCCCTATCATTTCACTCCAACCTTCCTCCTGTATTGGCTGCCTTACACTGCCTAACATTAAGGCTGACATTGGAAGAGGTAAAGATGTGCCTGAAATGCGTTGTGGGTCTTCTTCTTTGCTTTCCAGAGTTGGGTAAGTATATGCCATCAAGCTGATTGCACCCATTTCAGCAAATGGAAAACCTCACAGGAAAAGAGAACACCAATATGTTTTAAATGAGATGGGAATTTATGAAAAGGGTCACACATAGCCTACTTCACTAAGTTATTATGGGGATAAAATGGGGGCAAAAGACAGCCTGTATGCTGCTGTGAGTTTGTCAGACCGTGTGTATGGGATAACAATGTTAATAATAATAACAAGAAGAGGAGGAAGACACTTGCTGTTCTCCACGTCTGAGGGTCTGAGGCTCGATGCTCTTGATGGGACCCCTTGGTGAGTAGACCCTCCTCCTCTCTGCTGAGACTGTCTACTTGCCCTCTCTCTTTGAGTTCAATGCACCCAGCTGTCCAGAGGGAAAGGTCCAAGAAGAGAAGGGGTGTTGCTGCTCCCCCTTGTTTCAGTCACTACTGATTTGCTTAGGCAGGAAAAGGTGAGCAGAAAATATCAACAAGGAAGGACCACAGTGGGGCAAGGAGGCTTAGTGGTACCCAGTGATGCTAACTTGATGTCAGTCCTGAGATAGCTTTAGTAAGATTATTGCACTTGTTGGTCAGCCTAATATTCCTTTCTAGATTAATCATTCCACCTTTTATTAGCATGCTCTGCAGTTGTGTTGCTTCCAAAGACCCAGATAGCTCTGTGATTGGAGAGAGTTACATATGATTAAAGAAAGGTACAAGGAAGGAAAGAAGATGTTTGTTGTGGGTTTTTTGGGTTCTTTGGCCGTCTTCTAAAGGTTGTTCTTCCGAACGTTTCACCAGTCTCTGTGGCCGGCATCTTCAGAGGACAGCACTCTGTGCTCTGGTCTGGAAAGAAGGAAAGAAGACTTTGCCATCTCAGATCTTCACTCCTGGTGTTCTGATATCATTATCATCCTTTGTTTCCATTCCTTCTATATAAGCACGCAAGTCTTTTGTGCTCTCTCTCTCTCTCTCTCTCTCTCTCTCTCTCTCTCACACACACACACACACACACACAGCTTCTCCCCTTTCCAGACTATCAAATTCCTTTACCTATAAAGTGATGGTTTCTTCTTTCATACACCAAAAAGTTACTTTGGAGGTATGTTCAGTCATTTATCTCTAAATCATGGTTAACTGAACCTATTGACATCACCGTCTGTCTTCTCAGCTGGCTCTGATATAGGTCCATTTGATGAGGCTGAATCTCCATTTAATGATTCGCCCTTCTCAGGTGTGGAAAGAATAAACCAAATAGTCACATTCCCCTCTTCCTTCAGTGTAAAATAATAATAACTGCATGCCTTCACATGAATTTTGAGCTATAGTTATCCTTTTCAGGTTTTCTAGGTAGGAGGTAAGCAGTAGTGGTTTACCATTCCCTTCTTTCGAGGGCATCCTGGGATTGTGCAGCTCTCCCAAGACTACACAGGCTGGCTATTCTCCCAGGAGGCACAGTGGGGAACTGAACTCCCAACCTCTGGCTCTGAAGTCAGATACTTAACTCACTGAGCTATCCTGCCAGCTAGACATTTCATACTGTGTAGCAAATAATGCAACTTCTTAACCTATGGCAACTTGCTGCTGAAACGTATGCTGATGGAGTTACACCAGCAGGAGTAACAGATATGCAGCCAATGACAGGACTAATATTCTGGGAAATCACAGAGACTACTCAGTGATACTCCCAACAGTCAGTCCTTCCTTCCTTCCTCTGTACGTTACAGGTCTTCCATATTTATTTGGAACAAATGGGAAGACTCATTTATGCAACAACACAGGGTAATATTCTTACCTTCCTCCTACACTGAAACCTCAAGTGAACAGTAAGTCATATGATGCACATGGAAGATAATCAAACTTAGGTTGCATTGAATCTCTGTAAGCAAAGAGGAAAGACAAAGGCAAATGTGAATACACAATGAAAAGCAGTAACTGTAAATGGTTGCTTGGGTTAAGTAATGGCTAAGAATTAACATCAGCTGGCCTTCCCAGTTCAGACAAGACAAATTTTGTGCTAGGTAGTGAGGTGGCCATGTTTGCTAATGATGTCTATGGTGGGAACAGAAATAGAATGTGAAGAACTTGAAGATGAGCTCTTTAAACTGGGATAAGGGGCATTGAAATGGCAAAAGGCATTCACTGTAATTTTTCCCTGTTGGAGCAAATGTTTGTGTGCGTGCGCGGACACCTGTGTGTGCTATTGGGCACTGTGTGCACTATTGTTGTTTAGTCATTTAGTCGTGTCCGACTTTTTGTGACCCCATGGACCAGAGCATGCCAGGCCCTCCTATCTTCCACTGCCTCCCGTAGTTGTGTCAAATTCATGTTGGTTGCTTCGCAGACACTGTCCAGCCATCTCATCTATTAGGATATGTGTGTATATACATGTGGGAGATAGATAGATAGATAGATAGATAGATAGATAGATAGATAGATAGATAGATAGAAAGATAGATAGATAGATAGATTGATTGATTGATTGATTGATTGATTAAAAAGTGTGCTGTGGGCATGAGAGTCTTCACTGGAGTGAAGCAGTAGAGTTTAGGGAAATCTGTCATAAAAGTGGAGAAAATGAACAGGTCAAAGTTTTGATTCTCCTTGTAATACTGTACTGAGATTAGCACGGGCTAAGGAAATCACAGTTAAAACATAGGACCACCTAGCCTATCCCTGTCCCATTTGGCTTTCTCCATCCAAAGACTGATTAGTATGAAGAGCAGAGATACTTGCTCGTACGTAGGTTCTACAAGTGGACATGAAATCAGATTTTCCAGAGTTCTTGTTTGTGCCTAGAGTCTATGCGTCAGCAGGAACCTATCATTGTCAGACTTATCCCTGTTCATGAGGAGAAAGTTAGAGACATGAAGGAAGAATTAGGTGCTCCACTCTGTGTTTACATTACTAGATGCAATAGTGTGATCCTACTGAAGTTGAATTGTGGAAAGTTCTGGAATAGATAAAGCCCTCTTCACCAGTGGAGGCTTGTAACTTTGATTTTGCAAGGCCAGTGTATCCACTCTGTGTTATGCTATCTCAGGTGCTGAGTCTATCGCTCCCCCAGGTTCAGCACCTTGGACAGCTTCTTAAAAGTGTGCACTACAACCTGGAGGTGATTCACTGCTGTTGCAAAGTTGGAGTCACGAGTCTCCACCAATTTTCAACTTCTGTATAGTTACACTGTGGAATTCATTGCCACAGGATGCTGTGATGGCTGCCATCTTAGGTAGCTTTAAACAGGATTAGTTAAATTCACAGAGGGAATCATTGGGAAATCATTGCCTACTAGTCAGGATGACTACGCCACCACCTCCAGTTGCTTAGGATGCAAGACAGAGGGTGTGGTGAAACTCATATCCTCCTTGTGGGTTTCCTACTGGTTGGCTACTGTGTGAACAGTGAATAAAATAATAATAAAATAATAAAACAATTGGGCCATTCTTGAACATTCTTTGGTCAAATAGAAATGAAAGGGTGGAATGGTGCTCAGGTCAGGTCACCAACTCAACATGCTGCAGCCCTCTAAGCAAGCTGTAAGTGACAGAGAAGCCCTGTAGTAAAGCCTTTATAAGAGGGAATTACATTACTTGAGTCTCATAATCTTAAAGGCTTCTGCTGCTCCTGTCACAGAGTATTCTTTTCCCTCTCCCTTTATTTTACAAATGGAAGTTAAAATGTACATAGTAGAAACATTACTAAAGGTAAATAGGGTGGTGGAAGGTTTAATCCAACAAATAACTTTCATATTATAAGAATTAAAGCTAAATTACCTGCACTAGATTTATTATTATATTAGATTTAGTCTCATGATGCTAAGCTTGACACAATTTATTCTCCCATTTTTGTGCCAGCCCAGATTTAGCTGAAATCAGCAATCTTTGTATTAAAACTATATGTGTAGTATGAAGTAGGCCTTTCAGCTATCTCTGTATTATTATCCTAAGATACAGAAGAAATCTATCCTGCAATATTTCTCACAAACTACATACTTCAGCAAGCTATCTCCAGTCTAAATAGCTGTGATAAGGAGTTGCATATAGGGAGAAAATGAACATTCTTAGCTTAAGATTGTGAGTGCTTCTAGAGTG